AAATTATATTTTTATTAGAAACAGTATAATAGATTATAATTTATACCTATAATTAATATTTTATACCCATATTTATACAGTTTTTATCACCCTGCAATATATCCAATGCTCTAGATATAGGTTTCATGACCTAAAAAACAGTATAAGACAACTACTATTAGAATATATTTTAAAAATATTAAATGTGCATATTTATATATAAAATTTACATTGCAATATTCTTGTAAAAATGAGATTTCACGAGGTCCTGAAATGGTACTTAGTTGTAAATTATTACACACATCTTCAATTTWATCAATATTTTCAAGAATGCATTTCATCGCATCATAATATGAATTCCACCTAAACATAAGATATTATAAGACATTTTTCTTTCAATGCATAATATTATTTAAAATAATTAGGTAATACCTTGTGGCATTAGGTGTAATAAGATATCGACCAAGATGATTTTTAATGATATCTGCACTTAATGTAGATTGATCCTGTTTATTAAATATTGCTTGGCACTTTTTAAATACTTTATGGCTGATGGTTTTATATGCAAGGTCTTTTTCCGCATCTTTAATGTCAACTGAAGCAATAAGGTTCATTGTGTGTGCTGCACACCGTTGGTGGGGGGGTAATGATATACTTAGGTTATCMACATTAGATGGTTCACCTTCCAGAGTGTTTGTAATTTCTATAGAGACATCATTTTCTTCAGATACTTCAGATACACCAATGCATTCATTTAGATCATTATCATTACTATATATTCTATAAAATAAAAAAAAAATTTATTTTTTGTTTAAATTTACCAAAAAAACTAATGTTTTAATTTATAAGTTATAAGCAGGCTTAGGGACTTATAGCTCTAAAAAAATGCACAAATATGCTGCTAAAATCATTGAAATATGCATTTTAATAAGCATTTATATGCATTGAAAAAAAAAATTGACCACTAAATCTTGGTCAATTTTACTTTAAACTTAAAAAAGTTATTATTTAAAAGTTATATCTAATAATTAATWAATTTTTTTTTTACGATCGGTTGAAATATGTATAATATGTAGTTATATCATATATGTATCTTAACATAAAATTGTAATAATTAATTATCGCATTTAACATGTCAAAATGTATTAATTATCTTTCATCTCTAGGTATAGACTTCAACAGTTAAGAATACCTTATTGTAATAAAATAAAAAATAAAAAAAATTTGTCAAAATGAGCACAAACATTTTAAAATATGCACTTTCCTGCAAAATCTTTCAAAGATGCAAAAATATGCACATTAAAATTTGAGGTCTGATATCATAGCACCGAGGAACGAATTTATTTCACACTCTGCTATATTTAAAAATAATTAAAAAAAGTATGCTAATGCTAGAAGTCCCTAAGCCTAGTTATAAGTATAACTATAATTAGTATTCACTAAAAAGCTGCAGTAACTATTTTATATTATATTAATTGTTTATTATTTAAATATTATAGAATATAAAATGTAGATGTCTCTGCTATTAATGAATCATTGAAAAAAAAGTGTGGATGTAGAAGTTATAATTTTTTTTTGAGTATAAACTGACAATTTTTTACTCATAATTTATAAATTATTATTCTGAGTTATAAGAAAAACTTTTTTATAGGAATATAAATACTAAAATAT